GAACCCTGAAACAATCTCTGGGCTAATCTGAGTCAGGGCATGGCTAACTCACAGATGGAACCCTGAAACAATCTCTGGGCTAATCTGAGTCAGGGCATGGCTAACTCACAGATGGAACCCTGAAACAATCTCATGGTCTAATCTGAGAAATTATATTAAAAAATACTTATTTATTATTTATTAATTTTGTATTTTTAGTTTTTGCCTTTTGTCACACGAGAAGACTTGCTGGATTATGTTAGAAAGGCGTCATTGAAGCCAGAGGTAAAATCGAAGATATCTTAACTGTTTTTCCTAAATTTTCATTTCAAAAGTTTGTGCAACCGTCAAACAAAGAAATGATACTCTAGCGAATGACACGTGGTCTGAAATGGGAAAATACTACGCCCAAGATTAAAGGGTGTATTTTGCTCTTAGTAATATTGTTTTTATTGTTTATGCATATGACCAAGACAAGGTACATTTTTTATAATTGAAATATTGCATCCAGAAGTTTTCCAAGTTAAACTTTAGTTTTATTTTTACGACAGGTTCTCTCTCAGTCATTTTTTGGTCGCTTTGTACATCACCTACAATACTTCGTTATCAAGACGTTTTATTTAGTGGTATGTATTTTTTGTAAGTTTTAACCGCGCAGTTCTCGTATAACAGGAGACGAACACGGCGGGTTTCAACCGCGGCAAGGCATACTCCAGACCAATCACTTTGCTCGAGAATTTACTCTTCATCCAATCAAATACCTGGAACACGGCATTAAACTGCTCTAAAGATCATAATAAATCACAAAGATTTTACTTGATACACCAGTAATTGTCGTTGAAGTCGTCCTCAATCGCACGTGCGGAAGTAGGTTTTAGCGGACGTCAATCAAGGCGTTTCCATGACATCACATAGGCACGTGCCCTGGAAAATATTCCTCTTTCCAGCGATGTCATGGAAACCCTTTGAATGGCAATTGTAGCAAAAGATTCTGCGCTTGTCTCGCTATTACAGCCGTGTTGTTACTTTGCACCATTTTGCCATCAGTGTTCTTTCCCTTGAAACTGAATAGGTATAACGCATTTTAATAATTCCAACTCGTAATTAGATTCAGGTCATAAACATGATAGGAAGTAGAGATAAAGACGAAATATACAATCGCTAAATATAATTTGTATTCCTTTTATTCTAGGTACGTTCGGTGGATGTTAAAGACCTGGCAACGCCCTTTTCCACATGCCATACTGCGGCACTAGTTGTGTTCTCTCGACTTCGATCAGGGGATGAATACTACGCTCATGATCTTATGTCTACTGTTCTTTTTAATCCTGATTTCCTTCCGTAAGTATTGCCTGTTTTCGTATGTGAATCAAGGTTTTCTTTTTTTTGTTCGCAGTTGTTCAAAATAGAAATTAGAATGCTTCGTTCACATTAAAGTGCGTATCACCCTTCTGACAATATTCTCAGTATTGATTCTACATGGGGTAAGATGTTGAATAACCCGAAAAAATTACATAGTTTGAGTGCGGCTTCTTGAAGTTATGAAGGTTTTTCCATGTCATATGCTAATGCTGTGACGTATGAGGAGTCATTTATGGTTATTTGTTGTTCCTCGTAATTCGAAACACCGGCTTCTATGGGAAAACTAACTTGCAATCATTTCTATAAGAGCAATGGGGGAAAACAATGACGTATTTCAAATTTAATTTATCTGTACCAGTAGTGTTTTGTATATTAAATGATTACTCCTCATACGTCACAGCATTAGCATATGGCATGGAAAAACCTCTAAGACTTCAAGAAGTTGCACTTAAACTATATATTTTTTAGTGTTATTCAACATCTTACCCCATGTAGAATTAATACTGTGAATATTGTCAGAAGGGTGATAGGCACTTTAACGACGTAAGGGTCAATCGTAATCGAAGTCATGACAAAATGAGTTTGCGATCTTGCAAAACCTTCAGTCCCTAGCTTTACGATAAAGGATGGTTTGGGACTTATGACAGTGCCTCTTTAGCCACTCCTAAGTTGAGGAAAATACTGGGTCGAGTTGGTATTGCAGTGCATTGTGGGGCTGATTTAGGAGGTAAAAATGTCCAAGATGGCGTCTATTTCGCCCTCTAAAACTGCCCCAAAATGCACTCCTCAAACTCGGAATGGCCAACACTACGAATATTCACATTGAGTTTTAAATCCAGCTAACCACGAAGATTACAATGACGATTACCCACGCTTGTGGGAACAATGCTTTACAAATTATAAATATCAAACTTAACAAACGACCTCTTTTTATGTACAGAGAAGCCACAGAAATAGAAGCGACTAGTGTAGCAAAAGAGTTATCCGAGATGAACATCAAATCCCAAGGAAGACCCACGCCTCCCCAGTTATTGACTAGCGAGCCAAGGTGTTTCACACAGAACGAGCTGTTATGCGAGGCTCATGGGAACCTTTTGGCTATAAAGTCTACGTATATGGGGTCGTTCGGGAAAATGAGACATGCTTTAGCAGCATCTAGGTTAGTAGACTAGACCATCGGTTGTACGAAGGGTGGATAGCGCTATCCGAAGGATAAATCCTTATCCAGTGGAAAAAATGTATTGGATAACAGCATCGACTTATCAACTGGATAAGGATTTATGCATCGCATAGAGCTATCCAACCTTTCTCATACTCATTAATGATTCATGAGGAAACCAGATGGGTTTCAATGGAAAATCAATGGGCTATTTTTGGTTCACATGATGTTACTTGAAAACTGGTAAAGTCATGTAAATGGACTGAATTCAGTCTGTAGTAACTGGAACAAAATTAATTCAGCCCTAGGACTGAATTAATTTTGTTCCAGTTACTCCAAGTTGAATACTAATGAGCACGAGAAGTCATTTCAAAGCCTCCAATATCGGACTAGCGGGATTTCAGGTCCGCGAAATTAGGCTGCGCCTCGCACTGGAACTAATTGCTTGGACTTGGAATCCCGTCCAGTCCTCATTGTCGGCTTTGAAATATTAATTCGTACAACTGGACCTAGATGTTTTCTCAGTGGATCCAAAAGCCATCAAGTCAAGAATTGTGAATGATTTTTGTAAAAAAATAGCTTTTTACGTAATTTTGGGATTGCTTTTTCTTTCTGTCAGAAGTCTAGCCCTTCACCAGCCACATGACATTCCATCGCTTCTGTTGCCGCCGTCACGTGAGTCTTTGTTGCCCGCTGATTGGATGTTCGAACCTATAGTGGATCTTCACAACCAAACTCTCAGCGCGTAAGTAATCACGTGACCAGAAATGTCTTTGTACGACTGTAGACAGGAAATGAAAATTAACGAAAATGCAGCTGGTTTTTTTTCCAACAAAAATAAATAAATGAGAGGGTATTGCGTAGAATTGGCGGGAATTTCGTCAAGTAAGATTATATGTACCACAATTAAATTATTTGCCCAGCTTTTTTCTTTCAAAAAAATTTAAAAAATTTAAACTTTGTCTTCGGCATCCGCATTCCTCATGATCCCTATCATGATTCCCATCTCATTTCTAATAACCTATATCTCTCACGGTTATTCCCAGACCAGCCTATTGTGTCTTATAGAAAGGAAAAATCGGTAAAAGACTTACGCGCTAAACTTTCCTAAACCGTTTATCAAAATACACATGAAATACTACTCTTCTTTTACTCCGACGAAGGACTAGCGTCCGAAACGTCAGTAAGTTTTTTCATCTTTTCACGGTGTATAATTTACCTTTTCATCATTATTGTTTCATTAGAAACACCGACGCAGCTCACACTAGTTTTTAGCTAGTTATATTTTTTTATGAAATACTACTACAAGTTGTTCCTAACAACATCTTTCATTCAAAAAACAACACTTGATAAACAGCAATGAAACACAATAATACATGGTCTATTGGATTCAAAGTTATGATTTTTTAAACTGATAACCTTACTCCGGAGAGTTGTAGTTTGTGTGGCGTCCTTTATACTTTATTATATCTCACGCTGCTGACCAGAAGGAACGGAGGATCAGGAAACGATATTTTTCGAGCGTGCGCAGTCACCCTAGAATATAGGGTGAATTCTAGGATCTCTTTATCTGTAGGATTATTATTCGTAACATTATTTACAATCGTCTCTTACAGAGAGATGAAAGGTCGAGGGGTTGACGAGGTCTCCATGGGAATGATAAAAACAGTCACGTGCACACTGCAGATGATCCAGATGCTGGAAGAATGGCGCCCAGTCTCTTTGACGAGCGTTACCATGGTAGCAAGGGTTGCCAGGCTCATGTGTGTTTTCTTAACAGGTGCTTAAATTTTTTAGACTTTTACAATTTTTTCTAGAGGATATTGAAAGTATTATTTATACAGATATAATTATAGAAAAAAAAATTAAAATAAGTCCTTTTAATTGCTGAAATTCTAGTTCTACCGCTTCTCTTCTGCCGATGCTTTTCAGAATTCAGATTCAGAATTCGATTCAGAATTCATGTTCAACGAATGCATACTCGTACTAGCACAGGATAAAGCACTAAAGCGCATGCTCGCTCGTTTTCAGAGCTACAATCCTGGACAAAAGTCATTGGGACACTTGAAAAGTCTGCGCTAAATTTTTAAATATTGTCTTAATATCCCTAATTTCTCAATGTTTATACGCCATTCCCCCCCCCCCCCCCCCCCCCCCCCCCCATCCCTCAACTCAATGTTGGTCAAACCACACATCATCCCAAACGCCCCGCTTGCCCCAACATTGATTTGGGGGAGGGGGGGAGGAGAAAAGAACAATCTGTCCCAATACTTTTGTCCAGGATTGTAGCATTTGACCACGACGAATCAAATGCAGTCCTCGCGCATGAGTGTACCCAATGTTTTGTTTTTCACTACTGCCCCTATTTAGGAATCGCTTGGGAAAGGGTAGTTTCCTCCGAAAAAAATTTAAGGATTTTAAAAAAGCTTTTAGATGAACACTATAATTGAATTTATTATATATGATCTAATTTATATTTTTATTATTTTAGAGACTATTTTTTATTTTTAGTTTTTTTAACATTTAGTTTCTTTATG